AATAGAAGGAAACGCGCATCCTGGATTCCACTGATGGTCACCATCCACAAATTAAACATTTGTGGTTCAGAATAAAATTTCTTAATGGCAGTCACCTCTCTATCTCAACTTCATCGACTTTGGAAAGGCCTTAGACAGCGTTGATCGAGAGGTGATTTGGCAACTACTTCGCTACTACGGGGTGCCGCCGACAATTATACATCTCATCCAACAGCTGTACGACAATGCTGCATGACAAGTAATCCACAACGGGAAGCTCACGGAATCCTTCGAAGTGAAGACAGGAGTAAGACAGGGTTGCCTACTATCGCCAATGATTTTCCTGACTGCAGTAGATTGGATAATGCGACAAACAGCGGGCAATGAGGAAACAGGCATAAAATGGACTCACACAAAGAACGTGGAGGATCTGGACTTCGCCGATGATATATGTCTGATTTCCCACAAACTGGAAGATATGCAAGTGAAAAGTAACAAGTTGGCAAAAGAAGCATCAAAGATAGGACTCCAGGTGAACATAGAGAAAACGGAGGTGATGAAGATCCCTGGCCAACACCAACAGCAACAACAACAGACAGCAATCAGCATAAATGGAAGGAACCTAAAAGAAACAACCTACTTTACCTACCTGGGAAGCATCGTTTCAACTACAGGCAGAACTGACGAGGATATCAAAGGAAGAATCGGAAAAGCAAGACAAGCTTTCATTACTCTCAAGTCTGTGTGGAGGTCAACAGTATTCAGCATCAAAAATAAGATCAAGATTTTCAACTCCAATGTGAAGTCATTAAATGCTACTATACGGATCAGAGACTTGCACTGCGTGTCACAAAGAGCACCTCAAACAAGCTACAGACCTTCATTAACAGATGTCTTCGCTCAATACTCAAGATCAGATGGCCGGAAAGGATCAGCAACAAAGATCTCTGGCAATGAGCCAACCAACCAGGAACCGATTGTGAAACAAATATGCATGCAGGAAGAAATGGAGATGGATTGGCCACACTCTGAGGAAACCAGCAAGTGACATCACTAGACAAGCCCTCGAGTGGAACCCGAAAGGGAAGCGACGAGTTGGTCGTCCAAGGGTGACCTGGAGGAGATCATGTGAAGAGGAGATGAAAGCATGTGGGCAGACCTGGAGCCAGGTGAAAACTCTAGCAGAGAACCGAACGCAATGGAGACGCATGGCTGAAGCCCTATGTTCCTCTAGGAACTAAAGGAAATAATAATAATAATGTCATTTGAATGTTTGAGGACTGTGGATTAGATCAAATAATTTATAATTATATTTCAGTGGTTTATGTACAATAATACTTTTTTTTGGGTTTTTGGTAATATTTTGAGCGAAATTACTCCCCGTGATCACACCAACTGTGTTGGAATTGTTTTCTTTTTTAATTCACACATTTATGATTTGTACTCATATCTATGTAGTTCTTTTTGTGTGTCCAGAATTATATTCAAGTTTGTTGACAGTTGTGCTGTTGAGTCACCCTTGTTACATGTATCCAGTGTGACCTTAATGAATATAGATTGTGTTATAAGTCTCTCTTTCCATTTGTTCATGTTAGTTTTCAGAATACAAACATTGTTCCAATCGATGTGGTTTCTGTGCCATACTGCATGGGCAGCTATAGATGAATTTTTTTCTAAACTGCTGTAAGCTTGTGTTCCTGTGGGATGACCTATAGTTAGGCAGGCGTTTATGTTCATTCATTCTTATTTTGAGCGATCTGGACGTTTGACCCACATACTGAGTCGGACACTCGGCACAAGATATTTTGTAAATCAAATTGTTTTCATTCATCATTTTTATGGGATCTTTCAGTTGATTTATTTTATTTTTCAATTAGATTCGTTGGTTTAAGCGTGATGCAAATTCCAATGTTGTTGAGGTTTCTTCGAATTGCCTCTGATGTATGTACCATTTCTGTACGGTGTCGTGACTGCTTTTTTGCTTTCTTCCGTCCTGTCGTTCTCCGTTTTTATCCTCTTTCTTTTCTTTTTCATATTATCTTTGATAAATTCTTTTGGGTAGTTGTTGTCGAGTAACATTTTGAATAGGACGTTTATTTCCTTACGCTGGTCCTTCGGTGTTGTTGTAAGTCTACGTACTCTTTCTGCAAGACCTTGTAATAATCTTCATTTTACCGCGAGTGGATGAGCTGAGTGATGATAATCAAGGAATCTTCCAGAATGCGTGGTTTTTCTATATAGAGTCGATGGTATGCTATAATCTGTTACTCTTTGTATTTCGCAGTCTAACACAGACAGTTCCCCAATTTTATTCTCTATTTTCATAGTGAATTTTATTGAGTCGACATGATTGTTTATGTGTGTGAGAAGAATTTCTCAACATTATTTTTTTCTCATAATTACTAAAGTATCGTCTACACATCTCCACCAACATTTTATTGATGACCTGAATAGTTTAAGTGCATTCTCTTCCCAATAATCCATGAATATGTCAGCTATTACTGGTGAGATGGGTGATCCCATGGCTAATTCCTCCATTTTGTTGGTATACTTTTCCTTCAAATGTAAAATATGTTGTTGTCAGACAGAATTCCACCCCTTTTATTATCTCTTCTACGGATAACTGTGTTCTGTCTTTTAGGCCATTATCTTCTTTTAGTCTCGTTTTCAGTGCAATCATGGCTATTTCAGTGGATATTTTAGTATAGAGACTGTTTACATCAAAGCTGACTAGTATTTCCTCTTCCTCTATTTTAGTGGTTTTTAGTCGTCTTACCAATTCAAATGAATCTACCATTCTAGCTTTTGAATTATCTCTTGTTGGTCTTGGTATTGTGGAGAGAAATCTTGACGTTGGTGTGTTTCTAAAGTCTACAGTCGGTCTTATCGGATATCCTACTTTATGCATTTTTATCTTGCCATATATCCTAGGTATATTACATAATTTTGGCATAATTTCAAGCCATTTTGACTTACCAATTACTTGTTTCATCTGTCTAACCACCTTTGCCGTTTTGTTTTATCGTGTTTTTGTGTGTGATTTCTTTGTCTGTTCACACGATGACTGCTTTCAGTAATCATTTTAGTGATGAATTCTTATCGGACAATTGTGGTAGATCAATACTCCTCATTACAATGTGATTGGTCAACTTAACTTGTGCAAACTACCAACAATGAATATCTAAATGGATTACTTTTATATAAACTGAACTGTTGTAATTTGGTGTCACGCATTCCTATAAGCTGTGGTCAGGATTTGACAGAATGGTTCCAAAAAATAATTGGGCACCGAGTGAGAAGTAGACATTTGTAAAAAATTTGTAAAATCTCAGTGAAATTGAAATGGGTAATTCCAACGTTTCCTGCATTCGGCAGTCTGGTCCGAACTTCTTCAGGGAAGTTAATCGAATTCCATATTAGTTTGTTTATTAGATATATCACACAGTGAAACAGTATTAGTATTTACTGGATGACGTTTCGAGCAAAATTGATTGTTCACAATCATCTCAATTGTAATCACACGACTTTGACACTTGAGTTTTATAGTTTTCTTTGTTTTCTCCTATTCATCATCGTAGGAGTAGTAGAATTTCCCAGATATCGGAGACAGGTGATGAATCATTCCTAATACCAGTATTTGCAGTTGATTCAATAAACAAAGCTTCTGTTATCAATCTCTCCCTATACCCTCTGACATTAGATTTCAAAACTCATCTTATCCCATCCTATTGTATGGTTGTGTGCAATTGCATGTAGTGCTATAGCTGAACTATTCTCTAGATTTCTTATCTTATTTGGATCAACCAATCTAAATTTTGCTAAGGTTTTATGTTCAGCTAGTCTGACTGACCCTGTTCTACTAGTCTGACCTATGTATTTGACCTGACAATCATTGTAGGCAGGGTATTAGATAAACTAAATTGTTTTGTTTTAAAGGCTCTACAGGATCCTTTAACCGACAAAGCTTGTTTCTAATTGAGTTTGTGGGTTTGAACGCCGTTTTTATTCCTGCCTTGTTGAGAATTCTGCGTAAGGCTTCCGAGGTTCCTTCCTTGTATGGAAGTACTACTGATGATTTAGATTCCTTATTGTTGGTGTCGTTATTATCACTATTATTATCATTATTATTGTTATTATCATTATCGCTACTATCATTATTTATTTTATTTTTACATTTCCTTACATATTTCCTGACTAATTTATCCGGGCAGTTATTAAGTTTCAAGGCTTCTTTTGGTCGAAACGTCATCCAGTAAATAATACTGTTTCACTGTGTGATATATCTAATAAACAAACTAATATGGAATTACTTACTACCACAGTGCCCATGTTTTACACATATATTAGTAGAAGTTAATCGAAGTTAACGTAACAGAGGTTTATAATATAAAAAGGACATCTCTTGTTTTTAAAAATGTTGTCCAGTCATATGAGTCATGAAACGGTCATCAAAATATAGTAAACAAAATTAAATTGTATGATCTGTGATCAAAATGTGACCTCATACTTACAAATATTAGTTTACTTTTGCTATGTACTTTAAACAGACTGTACTTTTGAAGTTAATTTTTGGATGGTGACTAGCAGTCAAATCCAGGATGCGCATTTCGTCCTATTTGGGACTGGTCATCTGGATGTACTTGCATTCCACAGGGAGTGGATGTACCTGAGACCGAGCACTTCGGTCCAATAAATCGACGTGAATACCTAAAATTGAATGAAAACAGTGTACTTTTCATCGGACAATTTTTTGTTTATTATATTTTGATGACTGTTTCAGGGACAACGTTTTTGAAAACAAGAGATTTCCTTTTTATATTATAAACCTCTGTTATCTTAATTTCGATCAGTTTCCTTGAAGATGTTCGGACCAGTTTGCCGAACGAAACTTTGTAATTACTCATTCCAATTTCACTGAGATTTTACAAATGTAATTTTTAAAAATTGGTGTCACTCAGTTTGCATTTTCTTCGAATCATAATTGATGTCTTTATTTTCCTTTGATTGGGTTTCTTCCATAGTTATGTAAATGGTTTGGATAAATTGGCGTTCGCTGCTGAACAGGTCGCTGATATGCAAATCAAACTGGAAGAACTTCAACCTCAACTTGTATTGGCTAGTGAAGAAAATGAAAAACTTCTAACCGTTATAGCTACTGAATCAGTTGCAGTTGAAGAACAACGCGTAAAGGTTAAAGCTGAAGAGGAAATCGTCAACCAGAAGGCTGATGCATCAAAAGCCCTAAGTGAAGAATGTCGAGCTGATCTGGCTGAAGCTCAGCCTGCATTAGAAGCTGCTCTTTGTGCCCTTGACACATTGAAACCATCTGACATAACAATTGTGAAATCAATGCAAAATCCTCCACCGGGTGTTAAACTTGTCATGGAAGCAGTTTGTGTTATGCGTGATATTAAACCAGACAAGGTGAATGATCCTTCAGGATCAGGTAAAAAGATCAATGATTACTGGGGACCTTCAAAGAAATTATTGGGAGATCTAAATTTTCTGACTTTACTCAAAGAGTATGACAAAGACAATATTAATCCAGCGGTAAGATATATTCAAATTGATATTGATAGACTAAACCTCCAGTCATTGATAAAAATTCCATTAAAAGCAAAAAACATTCAGCGAAAAGTTACTCCTCTTTTCGGCGGTATCATTCTCAAGCGGTATCACCGCACATATGTAGTAATTTTTCTCAGCAACGAAATGAATATCTCCAAGATTGTCATTCGAATTGTATATTTTAGACAACAAATTTCGTTAACCGGTTAGAAACTAAGGCTGAATAAGCAAGTTGAGTGACGTAATCTAATTGATGGGGTTGAGTCGAGCTCAGATAAAGTTAAAATTGAACAAAAGTCAAGTTAGTAAAGAATATTTGTAGCTCAGATGGATGATTTGCAATTAATTGTGTTCTGTGAGCTGGTTGGTTTATTCGCGGGGCATTCGTTGTCCTTCTGGACAACATCTTCAGAGCAAGTTTTAGCATAAAACGGACTGATTTAAATTCTCCATGAATGAAGATGTAATTGTATCTCCTGGTTCCCATCTTCGTGACTGGTAGTTGATTTATATCTGTACTGATCATTTTTTTATTGACTTGGATTTTGAACTTTCTCGTCACATGATTTACTTTTTATTAGTTAGTAGATTTGGTCTATATTAATATGTTTGTTAATCACTGATTCGCTTGAGTACCGGACTTCTAGGAATTCTCTGGCACTTTTGGTTTCAAGTCAATTTAATAACAGTGGTAATAATGGATTGGGGAAGAAAATACTATACAATTAAGAAAGAAACAAGCAAGGAAAAGACAGAACAAAACTGTTATGATGCTAGATCTTTTGTCACCAGGTCACTGCTTAACTGCTGCCCAGCGCCCACTTAACTGGTAAAGCAGAACACGAAGAGAATCAACGGTAAACCCAGGTTCATTTATTATGACAAAAGTGACTGTATTTATACAGAAACAAGGTAGACTGGAAATCAACCAATCCGGTTGAGAGTTTGAATTGTGCAAGCGTCCAATCAGAAGCAGGAAAAATTGCATGTCAACGACTTGTTAATAACGCGATAATAACTTGATAATTGCATGTGTTTTGCCTCTTCCTAACAAAAACTAACATATTCGTTGTTAAGATAGGTCAGGTTCACTGTAGATTCGATGAGTGAACAAACTTCTTTTGTATGTAGAGTTCAGGTTATAACATATGGATTGCCATTGCTTCTGTGGTTTGAAGAAGTTTAGTTTGTACTCTTTTAGCAAGACTCCCACTTATTCTACAGATAACTTTAAAGTTATTTTGTGGGTTTGCTTGGTGCCCTGATTCGATCAGGTGTTTCAGAATACAGCTTCAAAGGGGGGGACCTTTTTTCTCCTTTTATGAAACCATGAGGGTAAGTGTTCGATGATACGTTTGGATAGGAAACGCTAGATACGGCCGACATACCCAGCTTCGCACAAGCAGGTGAATCGGTAGATTCACACTGATAAGGCCAACAGTGGTAGCTTATCCTTCACATTCATGCGATTCATTGGTTTCGCAGAGAAGGTTAGTTGGAGTTCAGTCACGAAGGAGGTTTTCTGGAGTGAGCGGGACAGGTAGTTTCTGAATATTCCTGCCAATGAATGTCCAGTGAATTTTAGATTCAGACAGAGAAGTTTTCCGGAAGCAGAAAATGTGAGCGGTTTTTACTGATTTAAGTTTCATAGATTTTGTAATGAAACGTTCTGGGTAGCCATTTTTTGAGGATCCCGTTACTTGAATGTTTTTTAGAGCTATTTCTCAAGTTCTCTTGATATACAATAAATTGTACCTGAGCTTAGCAACGCACCAGGCACTTTATATAATTCTGTGATTTGAAAGCCACATGATGTAATATTCTTTGTTACCAGGAAAACTGACTGAATGTGATCTGAATGCAGGAAAGTGAATGAAAATTCAAATGTAGGAAGTACCCCCAGGATCAAGCAGAATATTCCCAACAAAGTGGGATCAAAACTTTTTTTCACAATAATCCCTCAGAAAGTCCAATGTCAGAATGAACTACATTCACTCAAATCAAATCACATCGTAAGACAACTCATTATCAGTGGATCACTAAGAGAAGTATTACATTTAGAGATTAAACAGGGTCGAAGATAAATAATAAGGATTAAGTCAATATATGATATACAAGTGTGAGAAGAATAATGTATAGTCTAGGAACAAAACGGTTAATGATTACAAAGTTAGTTGAAACATCGAAATGAGTATTAATATTGTGATTAGATCATTCAAGAAGGGGTTTTCCAAACAAGCTTTTCAATTACATTCTTCTTGCATTTCGACTGACTTTATCATCAGGATATGACTACTGTCAAGGAACTTAACCCTAAGTTCCTATTGTAACGAAGACGCTCCGAATCGAGAACCACTTTGACTTTCTCGACTTTAACTCCAAAACGTCAGTACTTTAAGAAAGAAGTTGTATTGTTTGGCAATTAAAGTGAGCACAAGTACAAGTCTATAAAAAAATGTTTTGTAAAAAATTATAAAGTACTTTTATTCATACTCTTTCGTCTTCTTCGAACTTGCACACGATCGAACCATTCGCGCCTTCGAGTTGCCCACCAATGGCTACAAGTTCCAATAAACAAACGTTCAGTGTTCACGTCCATTGACAACTGCAGTTTTCTGTAATTGTTAGTAAAAGAGTTTACCTTGCAATATCTGGTTCCTTAAACTTCTACAAACATTCGTAAATGTACATACTGACTGGCATCGACTTTATCCCCATGGAATGGGAAAATAAACCAGTATTGTTCAAAATATACTGAAATAATCATAGAACGTTATGGAATGCATTTAAACATTCATTCATCTTAGGTATTTACCTTTTCAGCTTAGTTCTCTCTTCTGTGTTGAGTGGGGCTCAAAGTATATAGGCTTGTTCAAATATTTGTGCATTTCTCATCTATAAAACAGAAAGATTGAGTGAAGAAATATTTACTTTTCATTTGGATCCTCATCTCTGGCTCTACTCTAATATACACGTATAGCATTTATATTACAATACACAACAGTTTACCAAACAAGTGGCGATATGTTTGTTAACAATAATTAAACAATGTCAAAATGTCAATGGGTTGATAGTTAACGAAGAAAATCAGTACACATTTAAAAGGTAGAAATGGTTAGAATAAATTAATTTTACAAGGATAACACGTAATTAAAGATGAAGTGGTCAAAATAAATAAAAATAAAATAATTTGGACAATTATAATTTTTATAGGTTTAGGGGGAGGGGGGCGACGTAGTCCTGTTTATGCATTCTTCTAGAGATGGCCACGGTAAGGAAAGTGGCTGTACAAATTTCTTCTGAACACACAGGTTTGGCTTCTTCAGGTGGATTCCTATTGCTTCAGCTGTCTGTAGAAGACGAACTCGTAGAGCAAAATTAAGATTAGTCGGAATGCGATAAATAATTTTAAATGCAGTATTAACATCAACCTTATGCTCAGTATCAACAAGGTGTACTAAAATAGAGCTACGAATAGATCTTGTTTGCCCCTTGCTTAACCATGTTGAATGATGTTCGGAAATACAACGATGAACCTGCCTAATTGTACGCCCAATGTAGCTGGCACCGCAGCTGCAGTCAAACTGGTAGATACATATAGAAGAGGCAAATTTATGTGGTTTATCCTTATTTCTCGAACATAGGGGTGGTTGTGAAGAGACAACGTACCTCTGCCGCATAATAACCTCTTTTAACTGCATTCTTCAGGCGCTGTGTTATTATTTCGCTGATGTTATCACTGAGGAACTGCAATTTTATGAACATTGGTTTTTTCGGAACTGTAGCCATACTGACTCGCCTTGGTGCTGAATTCATACTTTTCCCAATGAATTTATCTGGATAATCATTTTTTCTCAGTAATTCTCTAATTCTGTTCGTTAACATTAACATTTTGACACTGACTAATTATTGTTAACAAACATATCGCCACTTTTTTGGTAAACTGTTGTGTATTGTAATATAAATGCTATACGTGTATATTAGAGTAGAGCCAGAGATGAGGATCCAAATGAAAAGTAAATATTTCTTCGCTCAATCTTTCTGTTTTCTAAATGTCTAAATGGGGATTTTTTCTACATTTCTCATCTATCTAGTCCAGTATCTCCTGCTTATTTGTAGAAATGTAGTCACACACTGTAATTCCAAAAGTATTTGCTGAGTGTTCATTCGGCTTTTGATGTTTTCTATTAGTCGACTCAATACACTTTGCTAGGTGGATCGTTTGATTCTCACGACAGACAACTGAACTCCTCAGAAAACATATTTCCGCTATATTATAGAAAATTCCGATTTAACCATGATATCTGTTTCAAATCATTTAATTCATCTCGTTTGTTATTTATTCATTGACAGATAATGCAACGTATACGCAAAGAATTTATGACAAATCCTGAATTCGATCCAGTCAAGGTAGCCCGTGCAAGTTCAGCTGCTGAAGGCCTGTGCAAATGGATATTAGCAATGGAACAGTATGATCGTGTGGCTAAAATTGTAGCTCCGAAACGAGCTAAATTAGCTGAAGCTGAAGCAGAACTGGCGGAGAATATGGCCTGCTTGAAAAAAACTCAAGCTGCATTAGCTGAAGTTGAAGAAAAACTGCAGAATTTACAAAATCAACTAGAAGCTACACAGATTGAGAAACAGCGTTTAGAAGATGAAGTGCAGGATTGTGCTACAAAATTAGAAAGAGCAACAAAGTTGATTGGTGGACTGGGTGGAGAAAAGGATCGTTGGGCACAAGCAGCAGATTATCTTGAAAAGCTCTATCATAATCTTACTGGTGATGTGCTTATATCAGCTGGTATCATCGCCTATTTAGGACCATTTACACTGATTTATAGAGACGAGTGTATTTCTGATTGGATTGCTCAGTGTAAAGCACAACAAATTCCATGTTCTGAACCTTTTACGCTGACTCAGTGTTTAGGTGATCCTGTGAAAATTCAACAATGGAATATTAATGGTTTACCACGTGATGCATTTTCAATAGATAACAGTGTTATTGTTGCAAACGCTAGACGATGGTAAGTTGACTAGATTTTCACTTGAATAGCTGAACAGTACTCACACAGATCTGAATATTTCAACGAAAAAATAGAAATACCATATACTGTGTGCGTCGGTGGCACAGCGGTTAGGACGCTCGCCAACCATGCACATGGTCTGGGGTTTGATCCCCGGCCGACGTATACCTGATGTCAGTGGTCGGTCTGCTAAATTTGGGCTACCGATAGCATATGCTAAAAATCCAGTTAACCAGTGCATCGGTGGTTCAATGGTAGAATGCTTTCTAAACCTCAAAGAAAGGTATCAGTTGGTACGTGAGAGAAGGAGAACTGGTTGGTAGTTCCCTGAACAAGGTTGGATAGGTGGTGACCTGTTTCCCACTCTCTGGAGGCATGAATCGTCCGCTTCATCGGAGAGCCTTTTATGCGTCAGTGGCACGGCGGTTAGGACGCCGACCATGTACATGGTCGAGGGTTCGATCCCCGGCCGACGCACTCCTTTACCTCGCTAAGTCAGCAATAAGACTGGTAAAGAAGGAAGGTTAGGCATGAAGATGGCAACCCTATCCTGTAAAAATAAACACTGCTACAGAAACTTCAAGCCTCTAGCTTGAAGGTCTATGTTCCACTGGGAACGTGATTGAATAAAAAAAATTAAAAAATTAGATTATGGGATTTGTGGGGATTTCAATCAATTTCATTTGTTAAATTTCGTCATGAACGAAAATCAATGAGAGAGATGATTGAAAACCAGGGAGCACTGGACACCTATTTCGTCCTCGTCTTAGATTCTTCATCAGTGCGCACCCATGAACTCACCAGGAGTCAGGCCTGGGATATTCACGCTATGAGACCGAGCATGTTGACCATTATACAAGGACTGGCGGCAATTGCCAAGTTTTAAATTAAGCTATTCACCTATGTATAAGTGTGTACATAATCTCGCTATATCCAGTTAACTAGATAGAATGAAACATTTTGATTAGATGAGCATAACCTGATGAGTAATCAAGGAAAAATTCAACTCATTTTATACATTGACTAATACATAACCATACGAAAGAGTGGAACAGTTTGAAAGGCTAGTATAATTAGGAGGGTCCAGTTGCTTATGAAGTGTATACTTGAATGAAACAAGGCTGTCTATTATCACCGATGATATTCCTTAATGTGATAGACTGGATGATGCGGGAGACTTTGGGTAACGAAAAGGCAGGAGTACAGTGGACCGATAAAAAGACTCTAGGAGATCTAGACTTTGTGGATGATTTATGTTCAATATTACACAAACTCGAAGACTTACTGACTAAAACCAACATGTCAACAGAAGAGGCTGGCAGCGAAGGTGATGAAGATAACCAACCAACAACAAAAATCACCAATCATTGTCAACGGAAGAAATTTGAACGAAGTCACTTCCTTCACTTATCCAGTCAGCATCCCTTCAGGCGACTCTATGGACGACGATGTCAAAACCAGAATCGGAAAGGTAAAGCAGGTCTTCATCACTTAGGAACCAGTTTGAAAATACGCTGTACTCGGTATAAAGTCAGTCATTGCTTCAATATGAGTCAGAAAGGTGGAGCGTCAAGAGATTTACTTTATGTAAGATTTCAGATTTTTAATGAACAGTTGTCTCCATCGTTGGCTCCATAATGAAGGTTGGACGTTCCATCGGAAAGAATTAGAAACAAGAAACTCTGGGAACTAACCAATCAAGAACTTATTACTCAACAAATATCCCGAAGAAAATGGAGATGGATTAAGCAAACGCTGAGGAGACGATTAGGTGACATCGCGCCCCGGGCCATCGCTCGATTGGAACCCGGATAGTAAGTGACGAGTTGAGCGTTGGTCCGAAGATGGCATAAAGCAGATCATGTAAGGAGGAGATGAAAGGTGTTGGACAATCCTTGGGACAGATGAAGAGGGCTGCAGAGAATAGGACGAATTGAAAATATGCTACTGAAGCCCTGTGTTCCACTCGGAAAAAATAATAATGTAATAGGGTGAAACTCAAGGATCTCTCTCTTTCTGATTTCGCACGAATATAGTAGTAATAAATGTCCAAATCATTGATAAAATAGATATGGGAAGTACCACTACCACTAAAACCAAAGCGTGAGAAACAACTGATCCATATATAAACAAAGTTGTTAAATTTAATGTATACCACAACGTGGTTATAAATTCGAAAAGACATTGGTAAATTATACTGTGGCTTTAAGAATATCAAATATATTTAGTAAATTGGTCTAATATGCAAATATTATGTTCTTGCACTATGGGAATTAGTTGTTGTGATGACTTCTTCGTGGGTGAGTGAATTTCAGTTTAAAATGGACACTTCTGGATGAAGAAGGTAGACATTTGAATAATGCTTCTTTCAGATTTCTCCTATTTATGCTGGATGATTGTTGTTTATTGTTGTTGTTGCTATGAGTCAGGAATCTTGATCATCTCTGTTTTCTCTATGTTCACCTGAAGTCCTGTCTTCGATGCTTCTTCTGCCAACCTGTTGCTTTTCGATATAAGTATAAAACTTGGGCACAGGAAGGATATACTGTTAGTTAATGTTTCACTTGAAGATATTGTACGAAGGGAAGATATCATGCAATAAACTCCTCTGAAAATTCTGTACATTTTATAAATACTGTCGAGAACAGAGATATTATTATCATTCCATTTAAAGGGAATAACAGTAATACAAAGACGTGAAGTCATGTAAATAGATAAGAAATCGATATTCAAAGGTCACAAGTAACCTCATCCATAATCAGTAGTATTTTCTTTTCTATATTCAGTTTTACAACAAATTATAGTTATCACCGTTTATTTTTGCCACAATTAATTGGACAATTTACTCCTAACTAAAATACCTACTATACTTCAGATGTGCATCGGTGGCACAGCGTCAAAATGTCCACCGGCTGCGCATGTGGTCAGGGGCTCGATCCCCATGGCCAACAAGGTACTTCTTTATCTCACCAAGTCAGTAATAATACTCGTAAAGAGGGAAGGTTAGGGGGCATGAGGCTAGCAATCCCATCCCGTAAAAATAAACACCATTGTTACCGTAACTTCATAACTGTATCTTGAAGCCCTATGTTTCAGCACTGGGAACGTAAATGAGTACAAAAAAATACTTCAGATAAATCGGGTACTAAGGGTCAATGCATTTATCCTTACAGTTTATGATAACGTATCGATATATATTGTGATTAAATAACTTTCGAATTATTATTCGAGTTATTCATCATTTCCAAGGTATTTATTTTATTTATTTTTTCTCTAACCTAAAGGCCATTAATGATTGATCCACAAGGACAAGCGAATAAATGGATAAAAAATATGGAAAAAGAAGCTGGAATCATTGTTGTCAAACTGACAGATAGTGATTTTATTCGAAATTTAGAAAATGGCATCCAATTCGGTTCGCCAATCCTACTAGAAAATGTTGGTGAAGAATTAGATCCTAGTTTAGAGCCTCTATTATTGAAACAAACATTTAAACAAAGTAATGTAATACTTAGTTAGCTAGTTAGTTATTTATTGCTCTTTTTCTTTTCTACACGATGGTATCCATGTTCATCGGTTTTTTGTTAATGGATATTGTTTTAAAATTCTTGGGTCATACAGTTGGGTCTCACACAAAAACTTGAAGGATCTGGACTTCGTCGATGATATATGTCTGATTTCCCACAAACTGGAAGATATGTAAGTGAAAAGCAACAAGTTGGCAGAAGAAGCATCCCGAGAAGATGGGACTTCAGGTAAACATAGAGAAAACAGAGGTGATGAAGATTCCTGGCCAACACCACCAACAGCAACAACAACAGACAACAGGGAAATGTGAAAGAAACAACCTCTTTTACCTGCCTGGGAAGCATAGTTTCAACTACAGGCGGAACTAACGAGGATATCAAAACAAGGATCGGAAAAGCAAGACAAGCTTTCACCACTCTCAAGTCTGTGTGGAGGTCAACAACACTCAGCATCAAAAATGAGATCTGGATTTTCAACTCCAATGTGAAGTCAGTGCTACTATACGGATCAGAGACTTACACTGCGCGTCATAAAGAGCATCTCAAACGAACTACAGACCTTCATTAACAGTTGTCTTCACTCAATATTCAAGATCAGATGGCTGGCCAGAAAAGATCAGCAACAGAGATCTCTGGGACCAACCAGGAACCGACTGTGAAACAAATAGGCAGAAAGAAATGGAGATGGATTGGTCCTACTCTAACGAAACTATCAAGTGACATCACTAGACAAGCCATTGCTCGAGTGGAACTCGAAAGGGAAGCGACGAGTTGGTCGTCAGTGCGAGGGTGGGTGACTTGGAGGAGGTCATGTGAAGAGGAGATGAAAGCGTGTGGGCAGACCTGGAGCCAGGTGAAAACTCTAGCAGAGAACCGAACGCAATGGAGACGCGTGGCTGAAACCCTATGTTCCTCAAGGAATTAAAGGAAACAATAATAATACATTAATGCAGTTGGGTCTCACTGGTTGAGTGGTCTATGAGCTTGTCTTGTGATTGGCTAGATGCTTGCTGATGAAGAGTTCCCAAGTAGGACGAAACGACTATTTAGTACTGTCCAGTTTTCTATGGTGCTCTAATTGAGATATCAGTCCGTGATCAGACTTGAAACAAATTTAATCCCTACAAACTAATTCCTGAGAAATATATGATATAGGGTACCTAAGAGAATGCGAGGCAATAATTGCTACTAATCTTTTTAATATAATCAGGTAAGAATTACCAAGTCAGATGAAATGTTGTAATAAATTTATTTTGCACATACAAGGAGGTTTTTAATTTCTGAACACTTTACGACGTTGATGGTTTTGCATGGACTCTTCTGTGTTATATTGACAAAGTGATTTGCTATGGAGTCGGCTAGTAATTTACTAACTACTCCTTTTGATTGGTTGGAGGATTTCTTCATGAGCCGATATCAGTTGGAGAACCATTGGAAAGCCAGAGAGTGGTGGACAGCTGTTTTGTCAGCCTAGTTTGGGACCCTTCGGCAGTACGCACTCACCTGGGTTCGATCCCACAACCTTCTCGTTACAAGGCGACCTAGCTCGTAGACTATTAAGCGACGCACTGGGACCCGATCCAATGGCCAGCGAGGGCATGAATTCTAACTTCAGCCAATTCACTCACGACAGGTTCATCGGTTTTGAATTAATGGATATCGTTTTAGAATTCTTAGGCCATACAGTTGGGTCTCACACAAAATCCTTGGAGGATCTGAACTTTGCCGATGATGATATATGTCTGATTTCCCACAAACTGGAAGGTATGCAAGCGAAAAGCAACAAGTTTGCAGAAGAAGCATCCGGGGAGGATAAGAAGGACTTCAGTTGAACATAGAGAAAACAGAGGTGATGAAGATTCCTGGGCAACACCAACAGCAACAACAACAGACAACAATCAGCATAAATGGAAGGAACCTGAAAGAAACAACCTCTTTTACCTACCTGGGAAGCATCGTTTCACATACAGGCAGAACTGATTAGGATATCAAAGCAAGAGCACTGCATAACAGGTTCTACGGATGAACGAATTCAACCTTTGTCTCAAAATCCTACTGTTTATTTCCCCGTTATATGGTATTTTGATGAAAACATTTTTCTTAGAGGCAGTATGGATTCTAGGTTTAGAGACTAATTGACTTCTACACCTGTTTAAAAATTTTAAAGGATATCCGTTTTCAACAAGAGTATCCATCAATATTTCGTTTTTTTCGTCTATAACATCAACCGTACAAATACGCTGAATCCTCTTAAATAGACATTTCATCAAGCCTCTATTATACTGTAATGGACAGAAACCATGAAAATTAAGGTACTGCCCTGTCCAAATTGATGCTAACTCAGCCTTTAAGGTCATCTATAAAAACGGTCAAGGGTGCTTATTGAAATACGCCGAGGCTATAGCTATTCATAAACTCAAGCCCCCCTTGTGTATTCAAAAACAGTTTGTTATTACTCTTAACCTACCTTGGTAATCCTTATTTGACTGGATTGCCAAACGTTTGTGTTAATTATTCTTAATTCTTATCTTGTCACTTTGTTTAATGTAATATTTCCATATATATATCGACTTGACAAGTAAATGTGTGAACAGATTGTTCGAAATGTATAGCGCTAATACATCACATTTTTCAGATAATCTCCGTCTTCTAATAATGCTATCAAAATTTATAAAAGGGACTAACTGTTTTAAACACCTAATCGAGATGAACCATAAGATTGATGTTAACTCAGCCATTAAGGTCATCTATAAAATCGGTCAAGGGTACTTCTTGAAATACACCGAGGCTATAGCTATTCATAAACTGAAGCTCCCCCCCCCCTGTGTTTTCGAAAACAAAAAGACAGTTGCAGCGAAGAAAATTTTCTTTTCGACGAAGTCATCATCTAGGCTGTACATTCGTGTATTTATATCAAATGGATGGGAAAGTTCCAGAACAATTTCTGGTTAGGGGTTGAATTAATAAAAATTACAATTAGGAATTAGAATGCCATAATAAACAGGGGGATGGGTAAAACTCAAACAAAGTAGCATAATAACTAAGAAAATTGACATTGTGCAATTGGGGTTAGAAATGTAAAAATAACAAAATATACAGGATGTTTGGGTAAGAAACTAGTGTGATGAATAATTGTTTATGCAATCAGGGATTGGATTACCAAACGTTGTGTTAATCATTCTTAAATCTTTTTTCTTTTTGTCACTTTGTTAAAATTTAACATTTTCATATATATATCGACTTGACAAGTAAATGTGTGATCAGATTGTATAGCTCAAATACATCACATAGTCTCCGTCTTCTAATGACGCTATTCAAAATAAGATAAAATAATTGGATGACATGGTTGTGAATATTTAAAAGTAAAGCTTTCAAAGAGTGAGTGTTGTAGTCAGTGTTGTGAGAAGAATAAACAAATGAGATTTAAAGGGTGAGAAATAACAGTGTATTTTTCAAGCCATTTAGGCATTTCTTACAACGTCACCATCATCCAAATAACTATTCTCTCACCCCCATCTGCCTATGTGCTTATGTGTGGCCACACACACACACACACACAAATATATATGTGAATCGCTATACCACGTAGAGTGTGACGTAATCGTTTGTGCAAATGTTCATGTTTGTGATAGAGCATGTATATTTTTTTTTGGCAGTTTTAAGTTGTAATTCCCCTGTATGCGTTTTTCATAGTTGTGCGGAAATTCCTGTAATAATTCAAGATTTGATTTCACAGGTTGCAGGATTTCATCATGAGATGACATCAGTTAGAGCACCATTGGAAAACCTACAGGGAGTACTGGACAGTTGTTTCATCCGTCCTAGTTTGGGACACTTCAGCAGTATGCGTTCACTGAGGTTCAAAACCAGAACCTTCTAGTTACAAGGCGAGCTAGCTCGTAGACTATTAAGCGACGCACTGGGACCCGATCCAATGGCCAGCGAGGGCATGAATTCTAACTTCAGCCAATTCACTCACGACATAGTGTGACCACTTCGCAATGTCTTCTACGATGAATCACTGTCGCACCTTCAACCTGCTGTACCCAACTGGTCACAACTTCCCACCAGAACCCCAGGTAACTAACTGCCTACCTGAATAGGGCCAGTCGCTAGTGAGCATCTCATTGATATTCAAGTATTGTTTTTTGTAGGGATTTTGTTTGATTGGCTGGAGGATTTCATCATGAGCTGATATTTTTTTTGAAATAGTGAATCGTGAATAGCGTTATTAGAAGACGACGGAGATTATCTGAAAGACGATGTGATGTATTTGCGCTATACATTTCGAACAATCTGATTACACATTTACTTGTCTGGGAATGTGTCACTTGAAAGACAAGATTGATAAAAATCTAATTTCATCTTCTCAGATGCTACTTTACACTTCAGGTTAAGAAGTCCATCTAACCGTTTGATAGTGTATGAAGGGAGTCTTCTTTTCAAAAATTTAAAAGTACCATCTGAAAAGGTGAAATTGGATTTTTATAAATCTTGTCTTTCAAGTCACACATTCTCGGACAAGTAAATATTTGAGGGATCAGATTGTTCGAAATGTATAGCGCAAATACATCACATTTATCAGATAATCTCTGTCGTCTTCTAATAAAGCTATCCAAATTTATAAAAAGGTCTAATTGTTTTAAAAATTGAATTGTTTCAGAAAATGACAAATTGTTTTCTATTAGTTACAGGATTTCATCATAAGCTGACATTGGTTAGAGAACCATTGGAAAACCTGCAGGGAGTACTGAACAGCTGTTTCGTCCCAGTTTGGGACTCTTCACAGTACGCACCCACCGGGGTTCGAACCCAGGGCCTTCTGGTTATAAGGCCTGTGAGCTTGTAGACCACTAAGCCACTGAGACTCGATCCGATGGCAAACTAATTCTAACTTCTGCCAATTCACGACATAGCATGACCACTAGCCAGTGTTTTCGATTAGCTCATTTTGAGGATCTACAGTCATAAG